CCGCGGCGGCGCCCGCAGGGGCCGCGCGCTTGCGCGGCTGCTGACGCTCTCCTTGCTCCTTTTTCAACTGTTTCGCGACGAGGCGGCGACGGGCGGCATGCTCGCCACGGCGGCCGCCGCTTTCCGTCAGCCGGGCGCGCTCGACGCTGTGTTTCTGGCAGGGCTGCTGACCCCTGTCCCGCGAGACTGTAGAAGGTACCTTGGCAGCGCCCTGAGCGAGCACTTTGACCCTCTGCTTCTCATAGTCACTTTGACCGAGGTGTTCGTCACCGTCAAGGAGATGTCTGCCGTGAGCCACGCCGCGCTCGGCGCAGAGGGCCGCGCCGCGCTCGCGGCGTGGCCAGCGCTGCTGGCGGGCTCGGCGGGGCTCGCTTGGGACTTGATAAGCGCGCGGCTGGCCGAGGGCGGGGCCGCTGCGCTCCCAGCCGTCTCGTTGGCCGTGAAGCTGCCCCTCGCGGTGCAGTACGACGCGGCGGCCAAGGCGGTGCTCACCGCGGCGGCTGCAGCGCGCGCGGCGCGCCTGTTTCCGCAGCTGGCGGCGTTCTCGCGCGCGCCTGGCACGCAACCCGACTCGCCGGCCCAGATTTGGCTAGCGATCTGCATGTTGAGCGCCTGGGGCGCCATCCACTCCATCTTGGCAGCTTGCGGCGGGGCGCTGGCAAGGCACGCGCTCGGCTTTATCGGCCAGACGGCCTGTCGGTCGGGCGGCGCTGGGGTTGCCAGTGCCTCAAACGCTCGCGCGGCTGCTGGGCTGCTACAAGCTGTGCGCTTCCTGGTGCGCGCGACCAGCGCTGAGCTGGAACTCGGCGCCTCGTCACGCGGCAGCTGCGTCGCGGCCGTGCCGGGCGCGGCGGCCGCGCTGGTCTGCGGCGCGCGAATGGGGCTTGCGGCGGTGCGCGCCAAGGGAGACGCCGCCTGCGACGAGGGCGAAGTCATGGCCAACTTTTGTGCAGTGATGGCGACGGTGGCTATAGCAGAGGCGCACGCAGACAGGAGCACTGGCTGCGGCGGCGGCGGCGGCGGTGGCGCTGGCGCTGGCGGCGAGGACGGGGATAGGGTGGGCAGCTGGCTGAGGGCACTGCACGCCTTGGGGGCTCTGCCGCAGGTCGCTAGCGCGCTGGCTGTGGAGGGCCTTGACGGCGAAAGCAAGGCTATGATTGCGCTCGCTGCGGCAGCGCTGGCTTACAGCCTCCCTCAGCAGCAGCAGCGGGAGCAGCAGCAGAAGCAGCAGGGGCAGCATCAGCAAGAGCAGGAGCTGCAGCAGCAGGAGCAGGAGCTACACCAAGCGCTGCAGCAGCAGCAGCAGCGGCGGCGGCAGCAGCAGCAGCAGCAGCAGCAGCAGCAGCAGCAGCAGCACGTGTCAACCATAGGCGGCACCGGAATAGACGCGACAGACGTGCGGCGGCGTGCCTGGGCGGCGCTGGTTGGCGATCGTGTCCCCTCCAGCATTGTGGAAATGCGGCTGCTCTGTGAGTTCCGGTGGGCGGGCAGGTGCGATCTGGCCACGACGCCGGGGGCGCTTGCGTTTGCAGCTTCCGAGGCAGCAAGCCCGGATGCTTGCCAGGCGGCCCTGGCGGCCGACCTTTTGAGAGTCGTTGAGGAGTGGGCGGTGTCGGAATGGGCGCAGCACAGCGCGGGCGGCAGCAGCGGCGGGTTTGGCGACGATGGCAGCAACGACGACGGCAGCGGCGGCGGCAGTGGCGGGTTGGATGCGGACCAGGCGGACAAGCCGAGCTCGTCGGGCGGTGGGGCCCAGGCCGTCGCAGGGCACGCTGAGGCGCCAGCGGCGATCGAGCGAGCAGAGCGGTCCTTGGAGGCCATCTTGCGGCTGGCTGCCGGGGCGGCGTCGGCAGGCGCTGTTTCGGCAAGGGTAGTGGAGTCGGAGGCGCGCGCGGCGCTGGCGGAGCTGCGCATGAGTTGTGCATGGGAGCGGGCGGCCCATCAGCGGGGACTGCAAAGACAGCGGCAGGAACAGCAGCAGGAGCAGCGCAGCGAGCAGCAGCAGCAGGAGGAGGAGGAGGAGGAGAAGAATTGCGCTTTATCAGCAACGGCCACATCCATGGCGAAGTTGCAACAGCAACAGCAACACGAGCAGCAGCGACACGAGCAGCAGCAACACAAGCAGCAGCAGCAGCAGCAGCCAGCAGGCTGCAGGGTTGCCACCTGCCGGCAAACAGCATCATGCGCTGCATGTGGCACAGCCGAGGGTGCCGCAGGGGCGCGGCTGCACCTGTGCCGTGGCTGCCGTCAGGCGTGGTTCTGCTCTGACGCGTGCTACAAGGGCCACTGGCCGGTGCACAAGGCTGCGTGCCGCGAGGAGCAGGCGCGGCGGGCGGGGCAAGCGGCGGTGGCGGGGTCGGCGTAGGCCTTCAGCTTTGTTTGCGCGATATTGCTAATGTCACATAGGTAATGGACAGATTATTGTGCGTCCAGACCTGTACCTTAGTGATGTATTGCAACCCACACTGCGACCTGACCAATGAACAAAAGCCTTAACCGCCACCGTCCCACACACTGGTGAGGCGTAGTTTCGAGAGGCAGCTGTTTTGTCCGCAGCGACAGGAGCACCCGCCCACCAGCGCACCCGTCACCTGCGCTGCTAAGGCGCCTGTAACGCACGCTGCATGCCACCCCTCCTCGCCTGCCGCATGCACCCCTCAACCCCCGCCTCCCTGCGTGCTCACCCTGCATGACGTCATCCCGCCCGCGCGCGACCGCGTACACACGCATGCGCTCTCAAAGCATGCTTGCTTTGCTTCCTGGCGTCTTCATTACTACTTGATAGTGCATATCTTGTGTTGTTGTTTGTTTTTCTGGTTGTCTTGCTCTGTATCTAATAACAAATGCTGGCTTGTCATTGGCCGCGCAGTTGTTGTGCAGCAGTTCACAGCTGCAGCAAGGGCACCGGCACCAGCTTGTAAATCAGCCTACCTTGTACCCAGTCACCGCAACTAGGCACCTGCATGTTTGTGCGAAGGCAATGCGCGCAAGGGCAACATACAGGCAGGCGGCAAGACCAGCCAGGGGATTCACGTGGGGGAGTGATGTACTGTGAGTCCGTGATCCAGCTCTCAAACCTGTTTTGAGGGCCCTGCGGTGCCAATGTCAGATTTGAGGACATGAATGCATAACATCTGCCATCAATGTGTATAAGGCCCACCTTGCATACATGTCTCCCAGCCCCAGCCGCTTTGCAAGCCTGCCCGCACCGCCACCTGTCTTTCAGTGCGACGTCACCCACACACCCGCTCGCTCGCACACCTTGTGCAATTCAGACATTAGTAGTACGACACAGGAAGCTCGAGGTGATGCGCACTTCGTATGTTCATGGTGGCGGCGGCGACGGCGGACGCGGTGTAGCAGGCAGTCCTTCACGGCTCCAGGCAGAGGCTGAGCGCCTGCTGAGCATGAACAGCAGCAGCAGCAACCCGACTGAGGAAGGGGGCAGGCCGGGGCTGTCTGACATGATGACAGCGCGTCCGAGGAAGAGGAGTTTCAGGATGCGGCTGGTACGACACACGGAGAGGCCGGCGAGCGCCGCTGGCGGCAACAATACGGTCTGGGCCCAGGCGCCGCGGCGGCTGCGCCGGCCGCACCAGTCCAGGGGCGTCGGACAGAAGCTGCAGCAGATTTCAGCAACAGTCCCCGGCGACGAGTGATCTTGTACACAGCCGAGGTACGACATTTTAAGAATTTAATACATAGGATTTCTCAATTACGTTCAACATGGACCGCATCTTAGGCGAGATCGCCGCGGCCCTGCAGGCCCGCAACGGCCCCGCCGCGGTTCGCTTGGTGCGGGAATTGGACACCTCTCAGTCCGATGTGCTGAAGCAAATTATTCAGGGATCTGATGCCCTCAGCCCTGCAGTGTTCGTGGGTGTGATGGACGGCGTGCTGGCGCGTTGCATCAGCCCAGGCGACGACCGCGGCGTGGGCGCTGCTGTTGACAAAGCCAAGGACAAGCTGATTAAAGAAGAGGTGCGATCTTGCAATGCATTGCGACCTCAACCTGAACGCGCCGCAGTGGCACGCAGTCGGGGCAGCTGCGTCTGGGCTCGAGAGGGCGAACAGCCCCGTACAGTCGTCGCCCCCAAGGCCTGGGCCTCCCGTCAGCTTGGCCGCCATCCCATCTGTTGCAGATCCTTGTCGTAAAGTTTTTGACCATCATCGTCGCGGACGCCAGAACATGGGTCAGCTGCGCGCCCCTGCGCTGCCCCGAGTGCGCCGCAGCGGCCGGCGCCGCCGCTGCACGCGCCGCCGCGGCCGCGGTGGCGGCCGGCGCTTGCGCGACCGACGGCGGAAGCGCCCGCGGGCGACACGCGCGCGCGCGGCTGCTGATTCTTAGCTGGCTGACTTTCCAGCTGCTGCGAGGCGAGGTCACGGATGCGAGGCTCGCCACGGCGGTCGCCGCCTTGAGCCCTCCGGGGGCGCTCGAGGCTGTATTTCTGGCAGGGCGCCTGATGCCCCTCCCGCCAGACTACGCACAGGACTTTGGCATGCCAAGTGTGCGCAAGGACTTCTTTGATCCTCTGCATGAGATCGTCACGGTGGCAGAGGTGTTCATCACCGCAGAGCAGATGTTGGCGGAGAGCCAGGCCGCGCTCGGCGCGGAGGGGCGCGCGGCGGTCGCGGCGTTGCCGGGGCTGCTGGCGGATGCGGCGGGCCCCGCCTGGGACTCGATAGGCGCGCGCCTGGCCACGGGCGGGGACGCCGCGCTCCCCGCCGTCTTCCTGGCGGGGCTGCTGCCTGTCGTCGTGCAGCACGACGCAGCGGCCCAGGCGGCACTCGCCGCGGCGGCCGCGGCGCGCGCGGCGCGCGTGTTCCCGCCGCTCGCGGCGTTCTCGCGAACACCTGGCGCGCCTGGCGTGCTCCCCGACCTGCCCGCGCGGATATGGTCGGCAATCTGCAGCTTGAGCCTCTGGGGCCCTGTCCACTCCATCTTGGCAGCTTGCGGCGGGGCGCTGGCCAAGCACGCGCTCGGCTTCATCGGCCAGTTGGCCCGCCGCGCCGGCGGCGCTGGGGTTGCCGGAGCCGCCAACGCTTTCGCGCCGGTCGCGCTGAAGTTTGCTACGCGCTTCCTGGTGCAAGCGACTGCCGCCGAGCTCATACCCGGTGCCGCGCGGCACGGCAGCTGCGTCGCGGCCGCGCCGGGCGCGGCAGCTGCGCTGGTCGGCGGCGCGCGAATGGGGCTTGCCGCGGTGCGCGCCAAGGGAGACGCCGCCTGCGACGAGGGCCGTGTCCTGGCGGACATCTGCAATTTGGTGGCGATGGTGGCTTTTATTGAGGCTCAGGTGGATGATCGCGCCGGCGGCGTCGGCAGCGGCGGTGGCGAGGAGAGCAGTAGGGCCGGCAGCTGGCTGGTGGCGCTGCACGCCTTGGGGGCTCTGCAGCTGGTTGCCGGCGCGCTGGCCGTGCCGGGGCTCGCTGGCGACGGCAAGGCTATGACTGCACTTGCTGCGGCGGTGCTGGCTTACAGCCTCCCTCAACAGCAGCAGCAGCAGCAGCAACAGCAGCAGCAGCAGCAGCGGCGGCAGCAGCAGGAGCAGCAGCAGCAGGCGTTAACCGCAAGCGGGACCAACATGGACGCGGTAGACGTGCGGCGGCGTGCCTGGGCGGCGCTGGTGGACGCGCGCACCGACACCAGCATTGTGGCAATACGGCTGCTCTGCGACTTCCGGGGGGCGTGCAGGGGCGACCTGGCCGCGACGCCGGGGGCGCTCGCATTTGTAGCCTCCAAAGCAGCAAGCCTGGACGCTCGCGAGGCGGACAAGGGGGCGGACTTCCTGAGAGTCGTCGAGGAGTGGGCGGCGTCTGAGTGGGCGCAGCATGGCGCTGGCAGCAGCCGCGACATGTTTGTCAACGACAGCAGCGGCGATGGCGGTAGCGGCGACGGCGGCGGCAGCGGCGGGAAGAGTGGCGGGTCACATCAGGATCAGGCGGACCAGCCGACCTTGTCTGGCAGTGGGGCACAGCTGGCCGCAGGTCAGGCTGAGGCGTTGGCGGCTGTCGAGCGCGTAGAGCGGTCCTTGGAGCGACTCCTGCGGCTGGCTGCCGAGGCGGCGTCGGCCGGCGCTGTTTTGGCGGCAGATGTGGAGGCGGAGGCGCGCGCGGCGCTGGCGGAGCTGCGCATGAGTGACGCCTGGGAGCGGGCGGCCCATCAGCGGGGACTGCAAAGACAGCGGCAGGAACAGCAGCAGGAGCCGCACAGCAAGCAGCAGCAGGAGGAGGAGGAGGAGGAGGAGAAGGAGGAGGAGGGGAGTTCCGCTCCATCAGCAGGGGCCAAGTTTATGGCGCACTTGCAACAGCAACAGCAACACGAGCAGCAGCAGCAGCAGCAGCAGCAGCAGCAGCAGCAGCAGCCAGCAGGCTGCAGGGGTGCCACCTGCCGGCAAACAGCATCATGCGCTGCATGTGGCACCGCCGAGGGTGCCGCAGGGGCACGGCTGCACCTGTGCCGCGGCTGCCATCTGGCATGGTTCTGCTCTGACGCGTGCTACAAGGGCCACTGGCCAGCGCACAAAGCGGCGTGCCGCAAAGAGCAGGCGCGGCGGGCGGGGCAAGCGGCGATGGCGGGGCCCGCATAGCCCTCAGGCTTTGTTGTTCGTGGCGCAGCTGTTGTCACAGCGGTATTGGACAGATTGTTGTGCCCCCAGACCTGTACTTTAATATATAGATGGCAGTCCATACTGTGACTGCGGCCTGACATATGCATGCACTTGAACCGTATGCCGCCATTGTCTGGCAAAGTGACGAGGGCTTGATACAAGAGGCGGCTGTCTTGTTGACAGCTGCGGAGCACCTCCCAACCAGTCACGGTGCACCAGTCGCCTGCGCTACACGCGCACTACGGCCGCTGCATGCCACCGCTCCTAACTTGCCGCACGCACCCAGCAGACCGCGCATCCCTGCGTGCTAACCCTGCATCACTATCTCCCAGCCGGGCGCGATTGCGATAACATGCATGCGCTGTCGGCAAAGTTGGTTTGCTATGCTTCCAGGCATGCGCCGACCTGATGTGATATCCCTATTGTTGTTTATTGCGTTGAAATTGTTCTGATTCGTACTTTATCAGCCAGTAACTTGCACAGTAACTGATCAGCTAGTATATGAGCCCACCTTCTACCCAGTTATTGCATGTGATGGCCCCTGCACGTTTGCCTTCAGGGCCATCCGCAGAGCAGCGACAGGCAGGCGGAGAGACCAACCAGGGGGTTGAATTGTGGGAGCTGAGGAAACATGGTCAGCCAAAGGTCAAGCCCTGAACCCTGATCTGCAGGCCTTGCAGCGCCATTTTCAGGTGGGGGCAACAGCACTGCACGATATCTGCCACCCATGTAAGTGTGTCACCCTAAGCCACTTGCAAGCCTGCCCGCTGGTGCTGCGGATTGCTCCACCACCTGGCTTTCACACTGCAGCTTGTCGTCACCCACACTCCCCCTCGCTCGCATACCGTCTGCATTGCTGGGGCGACGCAGCCGGTGAGAGTCCACTGATTATACACCACCACTTGCTGGGGTTTGGTCAAGCATTCCGTGTACAAAACGGCGACCTTCACTGAGGGGGGCCGCCCATTGGCTGGAAGACGAGGAGGGGCGGCGGCGGTGGGCAGCGACGGCGGGCAGCGACGGCGGGCAGCGACGGCGGGCTGCGGCGCATCAAAGCTTGTTTTGGGGCGTCGTCATGCCTCCAGGCGGCGGTGCCAACAAGAATTGGGCCGGCAGCCCGGCCGGACGCTGGGCGGTCCTGCAGTGGCTGCTGCACTGCGGTGACGTGGGCTCCAGGGATGAAAGCGGCGGCGGCAGCAGCAGCAGCGGCGGCGGCAGCAGCAGCAGCAGCAGCAGCAGCAGCAGCAGCATCAGCAGCAGCATCAGCAGCAGCAGCAGCAGCAGCAGCATCAGCATCAGCAGCAGCAGCAGCAGCAGCAGCAGCAGTAGCAGCAGCAGCCGCCGGTGTCGGACAGTGCCAGTGTGCAGTTCCCAGCAGCGGCTCAGTGCCCGGAGGCGCGTCCGTCTGGTGATGTTGTGCGTGGCCGAGATCCGGCCATTCACCAGCACAGAAAAATTGTCCACCACTTTCAACATGGACAGCATCTTAGGCAAGATCGCCGCGGCCCTGCAGGCCAGGGACGGCCCAGCCGCGGTCCGCGTGGTGCAGGAGTTGAACACCTCTCGGTCCAATCTTATGGAGAGAATCGCCCAGGGCTCAGACGTCCTCAGCCCTGCGGTGTTCGTCGATGTGATGGATGGCGTGCTCGCGCGTTCAATCACCTCCAGCGGCGCATGCGGCACGACCGCCGCTGTCGACCAAGCTGAGGACCTTCTGGCTGAACAAGAGGTGCGTTCTTGCCGTGGATTGCGACCTACACCAGAGCGCGCCGCACCGGCCCACACTGCGCTTCAGCTTGGGAGCTTGGGTGGTTCGACAGCATAACCTTGAAAAGGCCTCGGCCTGCCGTCAGCTTAGCCGCCGTCCCGTCTGTCGCAGGCCCTTGTATTGGAGTTTTTGTACGTTGTCGCCAGCGAGACCATAACATGGGCCAGCTTCGCGCCCCTACGCTGCCCCGAGTGCGCCGCAGCAGCCGGCGC